TAAATAGCAGAAGCTCAAAATAATAAATTACTTCGGCTGGGTAACAGCAAAGTGTTAGGATGATTTTTGCTTTTTTTGTATCACTGCCATTTAGTGGAGTGTCTTGGTGAAACTAAGGAAGGCTTTTTCCTACTGATTAATTGCAAGGAAAGGCTCATTAGAAAGCTGTATTGGGGTCATACATGAGGAGATGTGGGAACGCAGTGACCTCTGCATTTGGAAGTGCTGAGCACCCATACAAGATCTCAAACATTATTTTTTTCTGGGCAGCTGAATGAAAATTTTGCTTAGAGGTCCACAATGAAAAAGAAAGAATGGAAATCCCTGCTTTTCAGAAAGGAATAGCAAATTGTCGATTTTGCTGGACAGAAGTTGATTCACATTTTTAGAACCATCTTCAATTTGAATTATTCCATTGCAAAATTAAACAGAGAAACAATTTAATGTGAGACGAGTTTGAAAAGGTTGGACTGTTTATGTAGGTGTATAACCTGAAGGTTATAAAAAAAGATTATTTTGATTTTACCTTTTCGCAGAATAAAAGAAAAAGAAAAAAATACCAAATACTCTGAAATTGGAAATTATGTCAAATGTAATTTTTAAAGGTAGTTACTATGCTGTAGAGGTCTCCAAATGTAATAAAGTTGTGCTGGTTTAGAGGTAAACCATCAGGGGAAATGAACCCAACTCAAAAGAGAGATTATAAATCAGAATAACAATTTAATAAAATAATACAATAAGTACGATTATACAGACAAACAATTGCTTTTAACCCACAAAACCCAAATGTATAACCCAGCACCCTGGGACATGAACAGAGTGGTGTTCTTTGGGCCCCCTGAGTCCAAAGGAAAAGGAGAGGGGAAAACCCACTGGTAAGAGTGCTGTTGCAGTCTGGTCGAGAGTGATGGTTGCAGTCTGGTTGAAAAGTGATGGTTGCAGTCCAGTCAAGAGTGGTGGTTGCAGTCTGGTTGAGAGTGGTGGTCTGCAGTCTTCCTCTGGATCCCATGAGTGGTTAAAAAAGTCCCAAGACCTCAAGATTATATATCCTCCAGTTCAGGCAGGAATGCCCAATGGGTATGAGGACAAGAGCATCCTCTTATCTCGCAGGCCTCTTAACACCCAGTTTATAGACTGAGGAGTCAGGCCTGCTCTGGGCAGAGGGTGTAAATGGTCTATTGATAACAGTTTCTGGGAAATGGCATGGAGGGTGTAGAATACACAGTTTTGGGTTACACCCATACAGTGATGAACTGGTCCCAACTGTTCTAACTAGGACAAAAGTATGCACTATAGAGACAATGAATTCTAGAATTTATTCTTTTTTAACAAGCACATTTTTCTATATGTAATAAAACTGTCTCCCAATTTGGTATTGTCCCGGTTTCATCTGGGATAGGGTTAATTTCTTCTCAGTAGCTGGTACAGAGCTGTGTTTTGGATTCAACATGAAAATAATGTTGATAACACACTGATGTTTTGGTTGTTGCTAAGTAGTATTTATCCTAAGTCAAGGACTTTTTTTATGTCTCATGCTCTGCCAATGAGGAGGGGCACAACAAAGCTGGGAGGGAGCATAGCTGGCCAAAGGAATACTCCATGCCACAGAACATCATGCCCAGTATATAAACTGGTGGAGTTACCTGGAAGAGGGGCCAGTTTGGGTTCGGGGACAAGGTCTGGCATCAATCAGTGGGTGGTGAGCAGTTGTATTGTGCATCACTTGTTTTTCTTTATTATTTCCTTTTGTTTCAATTATTAAATTGTTCTTAACCTACAAATTTTACTTTTGATTCTTTTCCTCATTCCACTGGGGTAAGGGGGTGAGCAAGTGGCTGCATGGTGCTTAGTTGCCAACTGGGCTTAAACTACAATAGGTATGTATAGTGATATGTGTAGGGAGAAAACCCACATAAGATATTCAGAAGATTGTGATCATTTATATGTTTCATCATTCATAATTAAAAGATTATATGAAAATGTTATAATGAAGTATTTACAAAGTTAATGCTAGGTATGCATCTGTTCATCATTTGTTTCAATAGGAGAGGCAGGAATAAGTCAGTAAAAAATACATACACTTCACACAAACACATCACTGAAGCAAATAGCCTTGTACAGAAATATGTGTGTTTGTATAATAGGAATTTATTAAATAGATATTTTTGCTTTAATGGAAAAATATGCTTCAAGCAAAAAATCTCTTGTTAGTAAGGCTTAGGAAGAAACTTCCCTGGTAGGTACGTTATGCATTTTTGTTTTAGAGGGTTGTTTGACTTAATTTAAATTTTCTCGGTTTCTCATAGTATCTCTTAGTGTCTGTTGTTAGAGAGAAAATTCCTGTCTAAGGAGACCAGCACTTTGGTTGAGTTTGGTCATACTCATTTTTCTATTAGAGCTAATCTGATTTTCTGCTGGTACTGTGTGTAACTCAATTCCAAGCTAAACTGTTTTTAAAAGTAGTAGCATTTCCTTGAGCCAGGTCATTTACCTGCATTTCATAGTATAATTCATGTTGCTTGGAGTCAGTATGTTGCATCCAGATTGAATAGGCAATCCTCCAGGATGGATGACAAGACCAAGCTAAAACAATCAGCAAAACCTTGGGCCAAATACTGAGATTCCAATTAATGATAATGAGATGAGGCTTGCATATGTAGCAGTAAAGTACAGGAGTTCTGCAAACCCTATTTTCGCTTAGTGGCACCAGGGCAACCCACTGTTTTACTGTAATTTTATAAAACACTTTAAAGACAGTTCACCTATACTGTTGTTTTGGGCAGCTTTGTGGGATGTATTTGGTCATTTGTCTGAATAGCCCCAGGGTTTCTGATACTGTTCTGTTCCCATGCTTTCAGAGCCTCTGCAATCTTACAGCCTTGGGTGCCTTTGCTAGGCTGCTCACTTTTACACACAGACTAAAACTGCTCCCAGTTCACTCTACAGAACAATGAGATTTAAAATATGAATATTTGTTTGTGTATGAATATGAATATGATGATTTCTTAGCTTCTTGCTATTAGTATTCAGTTATGACATTATTGATATGGGTTAGAATTTAATTATTTTTGGGTTATAGTGAATATATTTGTGTAAGGTATTACAGCACCATGTTATACAGACGTAGTGGCAATGAGTCAGGAATTGGCACACAGTCTTCTGAGTCAGGATATTAGGGGGCATTGTGTACCAGAGGTACTTTCTTTTGGCTTAACTGCAGAGCTGACCATCTGTGGTCATAAAAGATCCTGGGAATATTTTTGTAATAACCTAGTTTGGTGACCAAATTTGATTATGAGTAATGGCATTTGAGTGAACTTTCCCAAATTACTCCTATTACTGCTCTTATAAAATATGCTTTGTCATGTTCTCATGTTGTCATATTTATATATGTAATTTTATGAATTTTAATTGGCTATTAATCATAAAAGTTCCAAACAAAACTATCATTGCAGATTGCAAAGCTGGGGAACACTCACATCCCTTGTGAATATTGATCATTATAATTATGCCTGTGTGCATAAGGCAGTTCAGACACTGCCTTGAGATTATTAAAGGTTTTAGTCTGCAAACAACATGACTACTTCTGTCCCGTTTTACTTCTTGGGCATAAAAGTCACTTATCACACTGTTCTTCCCAAGCATCCAAGCAATCTAAACAATGCGAAGTTCAGTGATCCGCAGGGATATTATCAATGCTATAAAGAATGCTGAATACAGATAAAAATAAAGGGCCTGTTGTGCCCGCAGGAAAGAAATAACTGCCCTTCATTTCTGTTTGAATTTAGGATAAATATTAAGGTGTTTGACTAGCTGATTGAAATGTGATGTGATTTGATTGTAATACATTGAAGGAACTATGTTAATTCCTATATTAATTTCCTTTGAAAATTCTTGCTGGATGTTTGTAGTTCACATACAGCTGATTCATACTTCTTTTTATTCTATTACATCTTAAAAGAATGCAAACATATGTGATGAATTTTGTAACTCTGCTATGATAGAGGGATTATATACTGACAAAACTTAACAGAGCAAAACTTAACTTGAAATAAAACAGAGGAAAATGTTTAATAACCATGTCAAAAATATTTTTCTAGGTTATCCTTAAAATGGCAAATAACAAACTGGAACAGGATCTGATACATTTCCATTACTGATATTTTTTTCATCACTTCAGCAATGCCAGCCTTATCACCTCTGTGAATCAAAACCTTTTGAATTTCTGTGATGGAAACTCGAAGTGACATTGTGAGATATCAGAGAGTTGTCCTGTCTAGCAGTTTAGATTGCTTTAAGAGGCAGGGTTTTTTAAGAATGGATAAGTGTAGGTAGAAGCCTAAAATGGAAAAGTTTTGCTCTCCTTTGCAGGCAACCAAAAGAAGTAATTATTCCTTTGTATCTTCTGGCAGAGCCTAATGCCTATAATGATAGAAGTATTTTGACTGAAAAAAACCCCAAAACGCACAACACCACTCTGCCAGCTATTAAAGTATCATCTGACTGCAGGGTTTTTACATTGTTTATGGAAAGCCAAACACCTGACTTTGAGCTCTTCCAGTAGTTTATTCTTCAACCTGGGGGGAGCTGGATCCCTCACAGAGGCAGTGAACAGAGGGATTATAAAAGTAGAAGCCTCATTTTTGAATGAGGAAGGTCAGCAGTGGAAGGGATGCAGCCATGGCTGGGTGCATTCACACAGTGGACTGCATGTGACATGCGAAAGTCAGGGAAGTTGTAACGTATCCTGAATTCCAGCAGGGAAAAGGAGACAGGCCCACAAATAACTGAGACAGCAAGCTGAAAGCACGAGGACTTAAAATGACAGGCAAAAATGGCTTCTATGGTTATTCCCAACGACCACAGAAAACCTATGGGTTAGGTATCCAGTGAAAAAACCACTCTCACTGACTTGGAAAAATACTGAGCAAATAGAGGACAAAGGGAAAATGTGACACAGTAACATTTGTTATTGATATCAGTGTCTCCTTGTCCTATAGGTCTGAAGTTTGAGGAAATGCAAGAAAAGTTTGGGGAGGAATTCTTCAATATCTGCTTTGATGAGAATGAAAGAGTTCTTCGAGCTGTAGGTGGGACCCTTCAAGACTTCTTCAATGGCTTTGATGCTTTGCTGGAGCATATTAGAACTTCATTTGGAAGACAGGCCACCCTGGAATCCCCTTCTTTCCTATGCAAAGAACTCCCTGAAGGCAATCTCATGCTTCATTACTTTCACCCACATCAGATTGTGGGATTTGCAATGACAGGAATGATAAAAGCAGCAGCAAAGAAGATTTACCACTTGGAAGTGGAAGTAGAACAGGTCACAAATGATAAGTTGTGTTCAGAGGGGACAAACCCAGGTAACTGCAGTTGTCTGACTTTCCTTATCAAAGAACATGAAAATGCAAATATCACAAAAGCACTTCCACCAGGAACTTCCCACTCCCCTTTAGACCTGAGGATTAGCATCAGCACCTTCTGCAGAGCTTTCCCCTTTCACCTGATGTTTGATCCAAACATGCTGGTTCTCCAGCTTGGAGAAGGTCTTAGGAAGCAGCTCAGATGTGACACTCATAAAACCCTGAAATTTCAAGACTGCTTCGACATAGTTTCTCCTAAAATCAGTGCCACATTTGAACGAGTTCTCCTGAGATTATCTACTCCCTTTGTCATTCGGACCAAACTTGAGGATTCCGACTCTGAAAATAAAGATAAGGTAAGAACATTAATTTGCAAGGGGATGTGCTTATATGTGTGTGATAGGAGAGGATTATTTACTCAGAGAAAAGCAGCTCAAGTCCTGTGTGCTTAGAAAGCTCACTCATGCCTTACAAACAGGGGCTAAGTGATATTCCCCAACCAAGTGAATATTTTCTGAAATTATTTATAAACTTTGCCTGTGATGTTGTAGCAAATTGTGACACTGCACTATGCAGAAAGTTCTGCACTGTGGAGTTGAATAGTGCAGCTTAAATCAAAAGGATGAGGAATTTTACAAAATACCTATAGCTAATCCTTAATTTCACTCCAACTATATTATAGTAACAATAATAGTTTTTAAGCTATTTACTAGAGACTAGCTTTTGGTATTTTTTTTGAAAAATTCCCACTGCAGGGGTCACATTGCCACCTTATTATATCTTTCCTACTTTGGAATGCTGCTTTCCTATATGTTTCTTCTTACCTCTCACCCTGTACTCAAGCTGTAAGTGGTATGGAGCATCACTTACACCAGTTTTAATGCTTTCCAGTCATTTAAATAGGCACTTGTCCTACACTACCTTTTCACCTCAATGTTTTAGGAGAAAGCTGCCTTAACTAGTGAGCCCTGTGTTGAGTTCAGTGCATTCTAGGTGAGTAAGCTGAGAACGTGTCTTTAGAGTGGACTTCTCCAGAGGTTGAATGGAGTTTGTCTCACTGCCTATCCTTGAGTTATGGGAATGCTTTTGGGTGTGAAGTTGGGTTCCAGCTTTTATGCACCAAGCTACATAATGCTAACATTAAGGCTTGCTTAAGGCTTGAAAGCCTGCGTGTGGTTGCCTTGGAAATACTGCTGCCATTAATTGAACAAATTATTAATTTTCAGGGGTTTTAAGAGGTAGCCCCCAAGAATACTCATCTCAATCCCCCTAGACACCTAAATTCTGCCTATGAGTGCCACACTGACCATTTAGGTGGTCTGGATACAGCTTGAGAAACTCCAACCCAGTTTTGCTGCTTGCACTGGGCCAGCATTTCAGAAAAACTCCTGTGGTAACTGCATATTGAGTTCTGGATTCTTTTCAATTCACTGAGGTGATAGTTCCAGTGCAGGCACATCCCACAGGGCAGTGGAGGATTGCAGTTGAGCCAGGGGAACCCCAGGGGAGTGCCAGAACCACCAGGAGCTGGCAGCTTTCACCAGAGTGGCTGTTGAGGTGTAGGCAGGGCCAGGAGTAGCAGCAGTCACATCTACTCCCTAAAAGACAGCCCTAGGGAGTGTGAGACCTCATAGCACCATCTACTACATAGAGGGGGCCTACAAGAAAGCTGGAGAGGGACTTTTCACAAGGGCATGTAGTGATAGGACAAAGGGGAATGGCTTTAAACTGAAAGAGGGTAGGTTTAGATTGGATATTAGGAAGAAATTCTTTACTGTGAGGGTGTCGAGGCACTAGAATAGGTTTCCCAGAGAACCTGTGGATGCCCCATCCCTGAAGGTGTTCAAGGCCAGGTTGAGTGGGGCTTTGAGCAAGCTGATGTTGTGAAAGGCGTCCCTACCCAGAGCAGGGTGGAACTGGATGATCTTTAAGGTCCCTTCCAAACCAAACCATTTTATGTTTCTGTGGTTCAAAATATAACCACTTCTTACTGCAGCAATGGTTTCCATCTCCTCTTTGGCAATACTCTTTGGATGAAACAATAAACATGTTTCTGACGCATTTTCCTTTGGAAACAACATGTTCCCCCAAGAGAAGCAAAATAGTGCTTTTCATTTTGTGTTAGTTGATGTAATTCAACATGTTAAAACCAAAAGGGAGTTTGAGATAATTGTTTCTTGTGTGAAAGAGTCTTGTTTCATGCACCTTCCTCCTGTGCAGCCTGCCTATCCCTCTCAGACACCTTCCCCTGCCCCGGGACAGTCACAGCCCTTCAACCATCCTCTGCTCTTCATGAATCTGCTGTAAATCACTCTGAAAAAGAAGAAAGTTTAGATCTGGGAGGGAGGCTTTTAAAGCGTTTTTCCCTTTTTAGTTGCAAGTTAAACACAATATATTCTCTTACCTGGGGAGGTTTCATATTCTTGTGGCTTGCTCTTAGGAAAAGTGGCAGGAGTGGAGCTTGCTAGAGGCAGGGTTTAGTAGCCAGTTTGCAAAGCAACTCTCACTTGAAATGGTTGTTCTGTACCATCAAGCTGTGCATCCTTGTGTCATTGCTGTAGTTTGTACCATGTGTCATTACAGGTGGGTAATGAATTGAATCAGTGGTGGGCCCACTTACCACTTGGGAGAGTGACCCTCTGTATCTTAAAGTCATGTGTAGAGTGAGACCCTGGACAGCAAGTGTCAGTACTAGCACCACAGAAAAAGGGGATGGCAGTAAAGAAAATCTTTTGTCTGCCAGCAGTTAGGAGAAAAATTGTCTCTTGAACAGTAAGGCGTAAATGAAACATAAAAGGGTGATGGTGAGGTGCAGGGGAGCTAAGGTAAATGTTGTGTTGTGGGCACGGGAATTAATTTGAGAACATCAGTTTAGCTAAGAGGTATTTTCTTCTGTCTCACCCATTTTATAAGCACTTTACAGAAGTTTTTGTTTGTGAATAGTTAACAAAAAGATCAGCATGTGATGCATTTTGCTAAATATTTCCTTTTTTAAAAAAAAATGATAAGTTTCACAGTTTTGGAAGCTGTGATTGTTTTGCTTACATAGATTTTGAGAGGAGAGACAGCAATACAGCTTATGTCATGCTCAAGTCCTTTATGGATAAAAAAGTAGACTGAGCCTTGGGAACTGCATGCCATATTATTTTCCCATAGCTCATGTCACTCATGTAGCTTGTTTAGGAATTCTTTCCAATTTGCAAACACTTGTTTGGAAGTTGAATATTAGGCAGGTGGATCAGTGGCTGTAAGCATGATGCTGCTTAACAGTCATGAGAAACTGACTTAGGTATTTACCTATTTACCTATTTCTCTGTAACACATCTCTATTCAGTTCATGCTGGAATTGCATCCCACTTATACCTGTTTATCTTTTTTTTTTTAATAGAATTCTGACTTTGCAATAACCAACACTTTTCAGACTTGGTTACCTTAAATGGCAGTTGTAGGCCTGTGACTCAGACAGCTCTGCTGCAGTTTTGAAGCTGTTCAGATAGCTTAGTGTTTCCTCAAAAAAAAATAAAATAATTAAAAGGCTTTGTAATGAACAGAAGACCTTTCGATCTCTCTTCAAAAGACTTTTATCTTAATTTCAATACATAAATTATATATTTTTTTCAGATTTGCAGTAAGAAAGACTCACACCAGCTCTATGTTATGATGAAAGTAAGTCACAAATCATGCTCTTTCCCTAACTAAACACCCATAAGCAAAATGAAAAAACCCACCTGTCCTGGCTTTCAGGGTGCTTAGTGCTTGTCCCATTAATTTAAAGGCTCTTTTGTGTGCTTCAATTTACTGGTATTTGAATCACTGGAATAAATAACACTATCCTAAATTTCTAATGTAACTCCTATGAGGTCTGGGTGATAGGTAGTACTTCCTGTGGAGCTGTATGTACATCTTTGCAGAGGCACAGCCTCATGCATTAATATCTCAGCAAAGTTTTGTTAATTTGATAGTTTTGTTAATTTGATATATCACCAGTTATTCCTCGGAGCTCAGAGCATCTACAGGATCCCATTGTTCTAGGGACCAAGCAGAAGAAAAGAACTCTCCATCTGAAGAATATGGACACCTAGCTTTAATTACAATTTTCAATATTATTTTTACTTCTGAGTCATAATTCTAATGTTTTAGTGTTTGCTTGGCTGATATGTCAGTCTCCGTTATACAATAGACACACGTGGACAATGCAAGCATTTATTCCACAAAGTACTAAGCATTAGGTCTTTACTCTTCCTGACTTTACCTGTACTTATAAGTTTGCAATTAAACCCACTTGTAAGTCTGTGAATAATCAAATTCTACAAAGTAATATAGAGTAAGACAGGATGTGATGGTTTGCTTCCATCCTTTCTTCCCTCCATCCTTCTGTCTTTCAATTTTATTTTCTACAGTAATCAAGTTACCCACACTGATGCTTTGGGTTTTTCCTCTTGATTATTCTGCATGTTGAAAATTTTCTGTAGTAACAATAATGACTGTCTTTAGATCAGGATTCCTAGTAAAGAGGTCTTTAGATGTATAAAAGCTGAATTTCTGAGGTTTCCAGTTTTCCCATGCAGCTAAATTCTTGTTATTGTTTGTTGTTTATAGTATGGTATTAATCAGGTGCTGAAGGGACTATTAGGGTCCCGTTGCTCTACTTCTTATAGAAACATTCTGTTGTTTTTCACGTTTCACACTAATTTTTATTTAGGGTTTCTTTTGTGCATTTAACCAGAGTGCTTCACGAGGATCTGGTCAGATTTTTCAAATTTTGGGTTTTATCCCTAGATAACAAGGTCACAAATCTTGCTATTTCACCTCCCTAAGGAAACTCATTCTCTGCCTCCCTCTCTGGGAGCAATTACTTATTGCAACAATCAAAAATACATTTATTGAGACAGTTAACCATTTTGGATTGATAGCTTATAGCCTCACACTTATTTAACACAACAGTACTTCACAGTAGTTCAAAGAATGTTAGTGGAATCACTTATGGAATAAGAAATAATTTAAATTGAGAGGACTAGGTCTGAACTCATCTGATGGAGTGTTCTGAAATCCATGTCAAGCCCATCTACTGAGGTTTCCTTCCCATGAAGGTACTAACGTGAGAGAGCCGATAACCCAGTAGTAAGTTGTGAATGTAACAGGAGGAGAGGTTGATGTCCCTCCCAACATTTCTTGACCAGACAAGGGCTGGAAGCTCCTGATAGGTACTTTCTGAGTGCAGTTGTTTTCTGACTATAATAATGAACAAGGCCATCTGTGACATGTTATAAATACTCATCTCCTTGACAGTACAGTGAGATGGCTGGAATTGCTTCAATTTTTGGCTGAATGGGAATACAAGGAACGACTCTCCTGG